GATATTGAGGTGAAGTACAGTTGGGTGAAGAGAAGTGCTAATTCCATGGCTGATGGGTTAGCCAAGCAAGGGGTGCTTAAGGATTCTTTGCTTTGGGCCACTTTTTAGCTTTCCTTCTTGTTCTCTGTTGTGGGGGAGTTAAGATATTTTACCTCCCCTCTCTTGTACTCAAAGTTTCACAATTTTTATAATCTAATAAAACTTTCTGTTATTGATAAAAAAAACAATTTGTGGATGACATCATTATTTTCTGTGAGGCTGGTGAGGAGTTAGGGGCAAGAAACCTAAGAATGTTGGTAAAACTCTTTGAAAAAGTGACAAATCTAAGAGTAAATCTTCACAAGAGCCAGGTGGCAGGGATCAATTTAGCACTAGAAGAGATTAATGTTTGGGCCGAGGAACTAGGATGTTTATGCAGTGAGTTGCCACTCAAGTATTTAGGGCTCCCCCTTGGTGCAAATCCCAAAAGCATAGGTTTTTGGAATCCAGTTGTGGAGAGGTTTGAAAAGAAACTCAGTGGTGTGGAAGAGGAATTATATTTCTCTGGGGGGAAGGATTACTCTTATCAAGTCTACCCTAGCAAACCTTCCAGTTTACTACCTCTCGGTGTTCAGCTTGCCTCAAGTTGTGAGAAAGAAATTAGAGAGAATAATGAGGGACTTTTTGTGGGAACCTGGCGAGAAGAAGAAAGATCATTTAGTAAGATGGGATCTTCTAACTAGAAGGAAAGAATTTGGAGGATTGGGGTTAGGAAGGTTGAAGGAAAAGAACGAGGCTCTACTAGGAAAGTGGGTATGGAGGTACCCACAAGAAACAAACATATTGTGGCACAAAATTGTGACTAGTATTCATGGGCTTTTTGAAAATGGTTGGGACGCTGGAGTGTCTTACAGGGTTTCCAGTGCTTCACCGTGGAAAGCAATTCACAAACTCCTCTCTTTGTTCCTCAATCATGTCAGGTTTGATCTCAACTCAGGTAACAAAGTCAAATTATGGGAAGATGTTTGGGTGGGTGACTCTTCTTTAAAGACTTTATTCCCTTCAGTTTATGCCCTGTCCCGCTTTAAGGGCAAACCGGTTGCTGATTTCCTGTCCCCCTCTCCCTCACAATCTGGTTTTGCTTGGAACCTGGGTCTCCGCCAGAAATGTGCGTGACTCGGAGTTGGATTTGGTGTCTGCTATTATTCAGATGCTTGACGGGATTTGTATTGAACCTACTAAGCAAGACACTAGAATCTGGATTCCTAACCCCCTTAGTGAGTTCAGTTGTGTGTCCTTCAAAACCTTGACTTTTCAACCTGGGGTCCAATTTCCAATCCGTGAAGTCTGGTGTCGCCCTATTCCCCTTAAAGTGGGTGCTTTCTGTTGGGAAGTTTACCATGGTGCAATTAACACCTGTGATCTGATGCAGAGGAAGAGGCCTGGTTGGTGCCTTTCACTTAATTGGTGCTGTTTGTGTGAGTCTAATGGTGAAACTGATCTTCGTATTTTTGTTTCCTGTCCTGTAGCTAGCAGCATTTGGGAGTGGTTCTTTTCTCTCTTTGGATGCAGGTGGGATACCCCGGTGAGCTTGGGGAGATTGTTTGAAGCCTCTACTTTCAGGTGGCCAAAAAGAAGAGGAAAAACCTTGTGGAGATGCACACGGGCAGCAGTACTTTGGATGTTATGGGAGGAAAGAAATCTGAGGATTTTTGAAGGAAAGAAAAGGTGCAAGGAATTACTGATAGAAGGGATTATGTTAAAAGTGACTTCATGGGTAAAATCGATGGAGTCATTCTCAGATTTTACTGTGGATGATATAATCAGGAACTGGAGGACTATAGCATCCTTGTCATCTGCTAAAAAGAAGGTAGTAACAAGTTGGAATCCTCCTGAATCTGGATTCCTCAAATGAAACTTTGATGGGAGCAGTTTTGGCAACCCGGGCATGGCTGGAATTGGTGGGGTCATTAGAGATGACATGGGGAATGTAGTGGGGCTGTTTTCCGACCCTATTGGGTGGTGAGACTCCATTACAGCTGAACTAAAAGCTCTGGTTTTCGGTATACAAATAGCCTCGGAAATAGGTGTAAGGAAGCTGGTTGTAGAAGGCGACTCCAAAGTGGTTATAAGCTGGCTAAAGCAGGATGGAAAGGCTCCATGGGTATTCAGAAATGTGATTAAGAAAATTAATCACTTTACAAAGGATATGCAGGTTCTATTTCAGTGGACTCCAAGAGCAGCAAATGGGTTTGTGGACCAGCTAGCAAAGCAAGGGGCTAATAGGGAACATTGTTTTTGGGCTCTGTTGTAAGACTGTAAAGCAAATCTTAGGTGGAATGTTTTTGGACATTGGGGTAGCTGAGGGTATCCAATCTCTGTATTAATGTTCATATCTTTTTATTAATAAAATCATTTTCACTGATAAAAAAAGAGTTATGATCAATGGCATCATACGACTAGTTGAATGTTACTATTTTCAGAGGTTTTAGGGAAGACCAACCAATCGGCGCCATATATTCTTTTTATTTTTATTTTTATTAGCGAACCGTATATTCATTTTATGACAACAATCACACTCTGTTGCTTTATCAACTGTATTAGTGAGAAACTGATAAGTATTTGGTAAAATGGCATATTGGAGTGAGCACATGTTAAGCTCACAAGTGATATTAATATCAGTATCTTTGCCTATTTTATGTTGATAAATCATTTGGGGCAACATATATTGAACCTGTAAAATTGCAGCAGCATTTAATTGAGCTCATTATATTAAATTAACAGTTAATTCAATCATGATCACAAGAAAGTTTTGGCTTTACAATCATCTAATGCCCTGGTATGATTGTTACTTCATTATTTACAGGTGTCCTTTAGGATTGTGGGAGCAACACTTTCAGGAATGACAATTGATCCAAAAACGGTAAGCCAAGTACATTTTGACTGTTATAGTTTTCTCAAATTCCATTCCAATTGGTTCTTAAAGCTTTGTTATGCCACCTTTGATCATTTATGTAACTTGCTTTGTTTATAAAGTATTACCGAAACCAATGTTTTTAAACCATTATTGACCAAGACGGTCAGAATGTTCAACCTGTTGCATGTAGGGAAAGCTGGGTTGGTTCAACTCTAAACCCACAAAGCCTTAAAACCTGTTGATGACCTAGGAGGGGTGAGGGGAATTATATCATATGATTCTTTGAACAGTCTCTTTGGTTCAAATGCACTTCTGACCCTTATTGAGTACTTTGGCCTTTTTTATATTTGGATAATAGGATTCCTTGCTGACTTATATGGCTTAGTTTTCGGTTTGCCTGGACGTGCAAAAGACCTAATACTTGCTCATAATCATGAGTCGATACTTCTAACTTCATGGTTTTTATTACAACTCCAAATTTTATGTACGGTGTGCAGGTTAGCATTTATCCAGCTGTCAAAGCACCAGTGGAGTTCTCAACTCTGGTAGGCTCAACTTAACTGAAACAAAAGCTTTTAGTGCTAGTATGCTTCTTATTTGTTTCTTCGAATGTTTATTGTCTAAATAAAAAGATTACATAAAAGTATGATTACACAAGTGCTCTTGAGTTCTTCAACAAGGACAATAGATAGTCACAAAATCCCATTCTACCAAGTTCTTCAGAATACAACATACCAACTTTTCTTATGAGGGATTCATTCCTGGGTGAAATTAAGAAAAAAATGGATGGGATAGAAATTATGGTCGAAATATTACAGAAACCCCCCCTGGGCACGTGAAATGGCTTAGCAAATGCACTAGCTAGGTAGGGTGCAAATAGGGACCAAATGTATAGGGAATTTGTATGATTATATCCTAGAAGGAAGAAACTTGTAAGAGGTAGGCAGGATGGGGCCTAGCCTACATAAAAAGGGTGTCTCAAGACACATCCTATATACATTGTAACATATGCATTATTTCTTTCTATACTTAATAAATTGATCTTTTGTTGTTGCTGATAAAAAATGTAATGATGCAGGCAATGTTGCCCATTTACATAATTACATGAATAGCCATCATCATTGACCTAACCCCAACTATGGGGCAGGTTAAGGCTGCATTTGGCATTCCTTATTTCAAGGACTTACCTCCTTTTTGCAATTAAAAACTCAAGTGTTCATAAGGGCATTTTATTAACAGCAAAAAGGAGATTAGTCATTAAAATAAGGAATGTCAAATGCAGCCTAAATGGATCTTGTTCCTTTGGTTCTGCTCCCTTTAATACCACAACTTTTGTCAACTATACTCTTACCACCAGAATGCTTTTGCTTACCTGCACGGCTGCACCACATGCCCTTTTAGCCTTTTCTTTGTCCTTTTAGAGCCTTGAAGTCTTCAACTTGCAAAAGATCACTCTGTATCACTGACGTAGTTATTGGTCTCATTTGACATTACTGGACCATCATTGAAGATATGTACAGATAAACTCAAATTGCATTACATTTCTATTGGCGGATGGTTATAAGCAGCACATATAAGTTTTTTATACTTTTTGTAAAGCAAGTATGAACTTCCTTTTTTAGCATGTATAATTGTCATTGCTGGACCTATATAATTTCTACTGGTTTTACTGATTTTGGGAAATATATTAGTGGGAATATAAATAGGAAAGCTCAGCTTACTCGAAGCAATCCTTTCACCTCAGTGCCATGAAATTGGAAGCTGACCCTGTATTATACATGATGCTTTGGTGGAGAACAATATGAAATTGTTCTAGGCCATTTATTTGTAAACCGGTGTACAAGTTAGGATCGAGTGAGTAGCTACTGGCTGGGCTATGCTGAATACTTCTGGATCCCCTTTTTATATCTCTACAATGCATGCCGATAATCAAATATCTAGTTGTCTATAGTTCATTCCTGGATCCCATAAGCTAGGAGGCTGAAAAGCTATGCCTATGGCCATTTATCAAAGGGTTGATGACTCAGTTTAACAGAAGATATTGGCCCTTGGTAGAGGGGAAATGTGAAAACAGGATTCATGGGTTGTAAGTCGGGATAGTTATGTTGTTTTCCTCCTTTTTTATTGCCTGTGCATGTGATGTGTGTTCTAGGAGGTTTCCACCATATTTACCTGCTATGATTTGGGTGCTACAGGTTTCCTCTGGAGATTATATATTGTGGAATACCTTGGGGAGATGCCCCTTTGCTGCTTCACCTACAGTACAGAGAAAGGACCGCAAATGAGGGCGAACAGAATTTTGTGCTTCCGCTGAAAAGATGCCTTGTGTTTTCCAATGAAATGACCCAACTCCTGTGTTTTAAATGGGAGCCGAACAAGAAAGAATTGACATTGGATGAATCGAACATTTCGAGAGGTGTTGCGTTGCAACATCCAGGTGTAGAGCTTTTTAATCATCTCGATTTCAAATAAAAAAATGGGGAAGACGAGTACTGATATTCTGGGTGTGAGTCGTGTGACCATGTAAAGGGTATTATTCATTCCCTCTTTAATTACTTTAGTGCCATTCTTTTATTTCATTGGGCAAATTTCTTAAAATATCCTTATGCTTTAGGAAACTGATTAACTCTATATATATTATTTCAAAATACCCTTAAGTTTTCTTATAATCGAATTTATCCTTTCCACTGTCCTGTAAATTTTTAAAATAAAACCGAACTACCCAAGTGATGAAAAATTTAATTTGCTTGGCATTCTCCCATTGTCACTGCACTGGGATCTCGGGCGTACTTAATTACAGGAACTTCAACCGTCACCACATTGGGTTCTCAGGCGCGCTTGATTACAGAAACCTCACCGTCACTGCATTGGGTTCTTGAGCGTGCTTGAAACATAATCGTCACCGCACTGGCTTATCTAGTGCACTTGAAACTTCACCTTCACCGCACCGAGTTTTTGGGCGTGCTTGATTACGAAAACTTCATTGTCACCACATTAGGTTCCATAATTTGAAGTTTCTACAGACACCTTCATTGTCATTCTCACAGTAGAGTCTGTCTGCCCATTGATCATTGGGTCACTGTAATGGGTAAGGGAGGACCCTCAGTTGTATGGTGGTGGCTCATCGTTCCAAAACCCACCACCCAGTCCTAGTCTAGTCTCTGCTCCCATCCAGTCCGGTCAACTATGTTTCCATCGCTTTTCCTCTGTTCTTTCTTCCTCTTAGAATCTAGATATTTAAATCCAATTTTCTACCATTTAAAACCATTTGAGGATCCCATGGTTTAATTGATATGCTTTGTTTCTCAATTATTATTGTAATTATCTTGTTCCAAATTTCTGCTTATTTGATGGAGACAACAATACACACAACACATACATACACAAAGAGAGAATGAAGGTACAGAGATCAGATTGAGCTACAAAAGGGAATATGAATCCATTACACTAGAACTTTCTCTTTCCAAGTCCTCCCCTTGTATCAAACTTCTTATAATCAATTTCAAAATCCAGGGAGTCGGCATTAGAATTCCAATCAGGAGAGATACTACAAAATTTCATATCAAAGACCCACCAACTAGGGTGGCCACATTGGTTATAGTAGGTGCAGTTTTTTTTCCTGCAACCCAGTGCACTTGTAGAGACTGGTAAGCAATAAGTGTACCCCAAGAGCAATGTGTGGTCACCCAGGCTTTCCATCTTATCCAAGATAGCTCAGAAAAATCAAGCTTGAAAACTTCCACATCATCCACCACGTCCATCAGTTCCACAGAAACAAATGTAACCCAGCAGGATTTCCCCTTTACATTCAATTAATTACTCTCTAAAACCCATTGACCATGTGGAGGGAATGGCACTTTTTGCACCCATGTCTGTAACTCTAGGCCTGGAGCTGAACTCATAACCTTTTGTGTTCCCTGCAAACTTAAGGCATAACACTTATCTCGAAATCCAATAGTGTGTGAATTGTATGGTACGTGATCCAGAGGACGAATTTGGTTCTGTTAGTCTGCATTCATTTCAGATGGACTCTCCTGTTGGCACATGAAAGATGAAACTGGGATAATAACCACCAGTCAGTACCATGCATTCACAATCGATTGTAATAGTATCAGAGAGCACACTCTTCTTAAACTGGAGACCAGAACAGCCCCGTTCTAGTCGTCGGCTATCAAAAAAACTTCTATGGTCGCCATTGAATTCAAATGCGAGAAGATAGTCACCAGGATTGATTGCTCTGAATATCAGCTCGGCCATGGGACAATTCATATTGCTATAGCTATGTTGCTGCCACCAATACGTGCCCCATTCTGTGTAGTACTTACCCCATGTGCATCAGAGCTTGCCATAGATGATACAGATGATTACCCCATTTTCATGGCCGGAAGGAGGAGCTGCGGCGGCAAACGTCCCGCCTAGCTGCATTTTCTGAATCCTACTTTCCACAGTTTGAAGACATTGTTGGTATATGGTATGATTAGTACATCTTTTCTGTACCTGAAATTGTATTTGGGGTCGTTGATGAAGGTGTCTATTTGATCATCAGGAAGGTCTGTCGACCAACGAAAATTTGGCCACTTTTCCTTGTTAGTTGCATGCAACACCTTCAAAACAACCATTGCACGGTTCACCTTCGTCAGTCCGAGGAAAGAAACTTGTTTTCTGGGTTGAGAGCCGCTTTCATCTCCATGAGTGCTCTGAGCTCGAAACATGTCTAATAAAGCCTGAGAATGCAAAGAAAGCGAGAACACCAAGAAGGGAAGAGAGAAAACCCATCTTTCGTTCACACCAAAAACACCCAGAAACCTCTCCGTATCCGTCCCCCCCCTCCCCCCCTCTTTCTGTTTCTGTTATCCTTATTTTAGAAAATATGCAAACCTTTCTTTTATTTTTCCCCTTTTTTCTTAATGTCGCTCAGACCTTTCTTTACTCGGAATAAGGAAAAAAAATTATAAGCCACATGATGTCACATGTATACGGATTGTAACGGAACATTAACGACACTAACGATAAGGGTTGGTCAATTGTTAATAAACGTAACGGTACTTTAAATATTATATAAACAATAAGGTATAATTAGTCAATTTCCTAAACTTTTAAGGAATTTGTCCCTATTTTTATCTCCAACATTTTCGTCATTCATTGGGAATCACAAGGGAGTGTTGCAATGTGAACTCAGTAAGTCATTTGTCTCAACATGAGCAATGGATCAGATCAGATTACTGAACTGGGTACCTAGTAAAAGGATCCTGGTTTTTTGACACATGGTTTTCAAACTGTCGTTGACCCGGATGATCAGACTGTTTGGCCCAAGAATCGTTCAGTCAATCGGTTCTGTTTTATTCTACACTCGGTCCCTAATAAAAAATCATTAAATCAATTAAAAATCTATTGACCGGAATCGAATTGTTGACCCATTCAACAGCGGTTTTGATCATTTTTTATTTTAATTATTTTTTAATTTTTTATCAGAACCGGCCGTTTACCCGAGTAGAACTCGTGAGGTACTAACTTTGCTTTGGTCATGATCTATCCCATCACAAATTGTGAACATGCTAATAGTCTATTGAGAATAAGATCTGAAATTGTGTTGAATAAACCTGTAAGAGCATGTTTGAATATGCATCACACCGAAGAAGAGGAATAGGAAAAAAGCCTGGCCTAATAGGCTAGTACAGATTGTTCATCCTGATCCTTGGCAAAAACAGCAGCAACCACCTCACTTATTTCTCTCTGAATGCCACCGCTAGCCTCCATGATTTAGTGGTGCCAAAAACAAGGGGCTTTATTTGATAAAACAGGATAAGAGTGCTAGAAGAATAACGAAGTAGTTTCATGCAATTTGAGAAAAAAAATCAAGGATTAAAATAAGGTTTTTAAAACTGGATTAGGGAGTCATTTGGGGGTTCAGTTGTCAGGTCGAGTGGTTCAACTGTCCGATCCAAACTGATGGCCCATTTTGACAGAAAAAATTAAAAAAACAAAAAAATAATCAAAAACTATTGTCCGAATTAACAGTTCAACTATTCAAGTCAACGGTTCATTGACCAAATCAATAATTTTTAGCTTAAAAATGATTTTAAAGTAAAGCGGAATAAATCAAGTAACCGGTGATCAGTTTTCCGGTCCATCTTTTGAAAACCATGAGTTAAAATACTAATATGCCAAATAACCAAAGATGCCTATAAATGTGTATCGATACTCTCATTTTTATTTAGTTTTTTTATTGGGTAAAATATAAAATCCTCCCTTAAGATTTCTCTGACAATTGTATAAATCTCTAATAAAAAGTAAAAACCTCCCATGACCTATATAAAAATGTATAATTGTCTCCCATCAGTCATCTTTCCAAATTCTGATAACAAAGGGACTGAAATTACAAAATGATCCTTTTAGCTTCAAGGTTTCATAAGCAGGAGAGAAACAATGGCCGGTCTAACTCCATTCTCCCATATTTAAAAAAAAAAAATACAAAAGCACTTGAAATGGATGGAAAGATACAATTTACAGGCATAAATGACGATTCGTTTTATCCTTCAAATCCATCGCTTTCTTCAATATACTCATGAAAAATAACCTCCCTAGTTCTGATAGAAAGCTTCAATACTAATCAAATTCTGATCACGTTTTTACACATGACGATTGATGAGGGCGGATTTGGCCCTCCAGTGAAAATATGACACCTGGCATCTCATGTCAAATAAGTGTAACCTCTTGACAACTAGGTAGCTCGCCACTTAGGGGCAGATCGGCGTATCGCAAGAAGATTTCCTACCTAACAACCGTACCTGCAAGATCTGGAGACTGCACCCACGTCTCTGGCTAGGCGGCATTGTGCCTGCCAATTCTGACAACGCCTCATGTCTGACAGGGCCGTACCCTGCAACGGTTACCTGCACCCACCAGCTCAGCCCTGGCCAGTAACGACTGCGGCAGAGAGTCAGAGGTGGTTACACCAGATCTGTCAGGACACCGCTATATAAGAGCCCCGACCCCTAGAGGGGAAAGGGGGATGAAAAATGGAGGTAACCCTTGCTCTCTAGCTCTCTCATTTCTCTAATATTGTCTTCAAGCTCTCTACCATTAGAGTGCTAACTTAGCCATCGGAGTGGCCCCGCCGGGTAAACACCCCCGGGTCCTCTGATTCAGTTCTCGCAGGTTCATCGGCTCCCGCCGACTACAAAGAGGAGCAGATCATCTCATGCAAAGGGCAATCGGGTTGCACTACACTAGGAGGCCCACCAACAAGGCAGCGCACCCAACAGCTCATCCAAGTAGCTCACCACCAGGGAGCTCGTCACCAGGTAGCTCACCACCAGGGAGCTCATCACCAGGTAGCTTACCACCAGGGATCTCGTCACCAGGTAGCTCACCACCAGGGAGCTCGTCACCAAGTAGCTCACCACCGGGGAGCTCGTCACCAAGTAGCTCACCACCA